ACACACACACACACACACACACACACACATTCCTTACCACCACCACCACTTCTTTTCTCTCTGTCAAACTAACCTCCAACTCCTGCTCTTCACCTCTATGTTTCCTGTCAAGGTGCACTGCCCACCCCCCTCCCCTCCCTCCAACCACCAACTCTGCCCCCGCAACCTTTTCTTTTTCTTTTTAATTCTTTCAACATCTATTACAGCTCTAAGTGCGTATGGTTCATTTTTATAAAAGTGTTCAGTGTAGAGGGCGGGATCTGCGTTGCTCTGTGGTAATCTTCTCATACCCAGATGTAGATGTGAAATATAGACGCGAGCTTTTGTTGTATTAGTTGACTTAAATGGAATCTCACTAGTAAAACAAAATAAAACTGTATTGAAGTATTCTCAAATTTATACATAATCATCTGAAAATTTGATGAATATAGGCATCTAACCTAAACTCACTCAAGTCAACTAGGTTTGGGGATCTACGCCAGAGATTGATCCTGTTTTCTCCCTGGTGGCTGCTTAGCACCCATACTATAGCGAACAATGATTAAAAAAGCTATTGAGTGTCAAGTTGTGACATTGAACTGGCTGAAAACACTTTATCGAGTTCTAAGCCACCCTTCATTTCTTTATAATTTGCTATGAAACCCTGAAATAGGTGTAGAAATGTACCAGCATACATGGAAATACAGTAGACATACATACAGCAAGCACAGTACATGAGGGAAAAACAGAGCTTGAGGTATATTTGGTATGACTACTTCTGCTCTTCAACACAATCTGAACTCTCTTAGGCAAGCTTGCTTTTAATTTTTAAAGGAATAGTTCTCCGGTCTTCTTGAAGGACATTCGAGGCTCTTCTTTGGATGTTGGCTGTCATTTATTCCATTCTCTGACGTACTGCTTCAGTTAACTTGAGGTCTGGCATCTGGGAAGGCCAACCTATAACTGATACTGTTTCGTTGTGTGCTTTTATATCCAGGTATGCCTTTACTGCACTGGCAGTGTGTTTGGGATTGTTGTCATACTTATAAAAAAGTCGTTGCCAATCAGACACTTTCCACATGGTGCTGCATGATGGATCAAAATCTGAT